GCCAGGGCTTGAAATAAAACGAATCTGACCTGAAACTCATTAGAAATCTGGAAACAACCCGACTAGTCGACTAATATCATTATTAGTCGACTAATCACCTTACTAGTCAAAATACTAAGGATAGTAGTCGACTAGACAAATTGAAAACAGTCTGTTTATGCATGTTTCATACATGATTCTCTTCTACACTCATACATACTTAGAATTGACCTCAAATCAATTCCTAGCACACTCAATAATCATATATTCAAATTTATGGGGTTTTACATAAGTTATGTTGAATACCACAAAAAGTTGAACAAAGTACAACTTTGACAGTGGGACTCAATAAACATGTGGGGCCACATTAAACAAGAATTTAGAGAGCAATCTTTACGGGCTTTATTTATATATCTTGCCATTGGTATCCAAAATCCATTTTTTGGAGCACCGAAGCTATTAGCTTATTTATTAACCATTTTCCTTATAGATAAATAATAAAGTTTAAAGTCTTAAAATATTAATGATTTAAAAGCAATTTTACTTATTTGAAGATCTAATTTCAAAAAATTAATGATGTAAGGGACCAATATTGAAAAAATCTTGTTATTAGTGAAAAAAGTAAATTCTTGAATTCATCAAAGAAAAATGGTAGGTTTTTCTAGTCATATAGGATTTTATTTAGTTATAAAGAAATTACTTCCACCTATGGTTTATTCCCACCTGTTGTTTATAGCCAATGATAGAGTATTATGGTAATTCAAAAGCTTTTTTTTATAGAAATCTCTAAGTCATAATGTGCAAATTCAATTAATCAAGAAAAATACAAATTATGTGATCGATTCCAAAATTTGATATTGTAATCTTTCTACATGTTCACCACTAACTAATTTATTTGTCAAAAATGAGTACTTTATAGCTTACAAATTTTATAAAATATAATCTTAGAATGATTCATACATATTATGCACTCATATGGATTGTGTTTTAACAAAATAATTTAGAACTCTCTAGTGTCAAAACAACATATAAAAAGTTTAGGTTAAGGAATTAGAAGAATCTAGTATCCATGATAATATTCAAATCTAGGCTATGTGCTTCACAAACAAATAAGAATGTGAGTAATATAAAATGAATAACTTAATTTATTTTGTCATAAATTTTGTTGCAGATCATGAAAGACACAGAGAATCAAAAGGATCACATACCTATCCTAACTAAAGATTAAATTTATCTCAGAGATTGTTATAGCAAAAGATTTTATGATTTAATGTATAGAATGAATCTAATGACAAATAACCTAAATCAGTCCATTGAGTGATAGACTTGATATAAAATTAACTCTTACAAAATTGATATCACATGTGCCTTAAGTTGTAAATTGTTTAAGGTTTAATTTTAGAAAACTCCCTCTCAACTATATATGGAGGCATGTTAAACAAAAACCCATCGCAACTATTTAAAATTGAGTAAATCTCCCTCAAGTTTGGGATATTATCGATAATCTATCTTAACTTCAAATTTTTTATTTAATCCCTGTGAACTTTTTTATGTAGCCCCTCAAAACTAATATTTTTGAGTCTAATATATTATATGACAAGTACTTGACTTGAAAGACCAAAATTTACCTTAATCATAAAAGAATTGTCTTGGTTTTTGCTAGAAGAAAGAAAAAGAGGAGATATAAAGGAAAAAGAATTGAAATTGGTTCTGGTCATTTTATTATCAGTTGAGGGTTTCTTTTTCGCTAAAATGACTTTCTTCAAGAGGGTATTTCGTCCAAATAACATATTATAGTAACTACTTTAAGGGGGTTTGTTGAGAGATGTGTAGAAGATCAGTGGAGTTTTTTTATGAGACATGCTATAGCTGAGAGGTGTTTTCTAAAATCACACAAAAGATGAGAGGGATTTTTTACAACACCCTCATAGTTAGGGGGGCTTTTTCAAATTAATCAATTAAGTGGGTTTTTGAGATACTCCCCATAGTTGAGAGGGTGTTCCAAAATTTAACCATTCTTTTAAATATGGCTTATTTACATATTTGTTCCTCATTTTAATAATTTAATATTAGTCCCTAAAATTATGAATAATTTTAAATTTTTGAGGGAATTATATAGAATTATTAAAGATTTAATATCAAGGAATTAATATCTAAATAACCTTTAAATATTTGCCCTTATAGGTAATGCATTAAATATCAACAGGTATGTCACTATATCGATCGATATATCAGGTTAAAGATCTTATCACAATGATATTTATGGTTTTATATTGTTTTCTTATATTTGACGAATTTTTTAATATGTCGATCGTTATCGAAAATATTAGTCAATATATCCCTTCATAGATGTCTACCAAATCGATCCATTTTTAACTTGATTGTAGGTTTAAGGTTGGCCCATGCTCGTGAACCAAAACTGGAACACACAAAACCCACAAAAGCTACAATTTGTCTCCCACATCTCTCCACTATCGGCTCTCCCAAATCTTAAGCGTATATATCTTGATGCAAATTCTTATGTTTAAAAATCATTAAAATGTTTATATTACAAATTATAATGTAATATTATGTGTGAATATTATCTCATATGACACCTCGATATTTTTTACACATCCCTAATTTCTGTAATCCGATATGGATTTTAGTTATCCAATATTTATCTGACATCAAACACTTTATAGTAATCCTTCAAAAGCCTCTTCTAAAGTTTTCTAAGCGACGTATATAATTTTAGGAAGTAATCCAAAATCTTGAGACTTATTCAAAATATGATACTTAAATTTTTCGATATCTCCCCTGCTATACAAATATAAGCTAAGCCTCTGATCTCATATTATATGATGAATATTATTTAACAATGGGATCACATACTATTGTTTGTGGTTAACAAAGGTCTTTATAGGCTAAATTGAACTTAAATACTTTATAGTTTACCAAAGTTACACTTATATACCACCACTTGTATCTTGTCACGCTTAAATATCCCAATGTTTTCTAAAATTGCATGTTTGTACTTTCTGTCCTATTATCTAGACATAAGAGTACTCTTTGTAATTTTCTTATATGAGTGTCATGGTATAATTTAGACAATTTTATGTTTTCTATTCTTTCCATAAATAATTTATTAACATGAAATTGTCTATTAATATATTATTATACATTACTAATAATTAATATGATGTAGAGTTTCACAGTAACGTTAGGAGTTTCGGGGACCAAATTATATAAACTTAAAGTGGTATATAATATAATTATTTAACAATGATAATTAATTTAATTTAGTTAGGATTAGAATGTAATATAAGAAAAGAATAGGGATAATATAGTTCATGAAAAGATTTTTCATAACTCTCTCTTTTAAAGGGAGTATGATACACACACGTCTTTTTATTTCCTCCTTATTGATGCAAAAAGTCAACAGGAGTGTTAATGATGGAAAGAAAAGGGTGTTTGAGCTATATGCGTGCGTGTGTGTGTGTTGGAGAATAATGTGTATGCTTGGTATAAAGCATAAAACTGGTGTTTGATAATGATGTGGCTCATCCTCATCCACTTATTTAAAAGGGAGACCACATTCACATGGCTGCACATTGGCTGGATAATTAAATGAGTGGGTGAGAAGTTGTCACTTCACTATGTGCACCAAAATTTGTGCTTAGTACCAATCATACTGATTATTATCATATATGATAAGTCTTATATCGGATCCATATATAATCTATTTAGACTCGTCTCTACTAAAGTTGGTCTATGGTAGAGATCAGGCAATCATCCTTAATTGGATGCACAAATAAGAAATCTCATAGTGGTACCTTCGGCTATGCAAACGTAAGAATTTTTCCTAAAAAAATTCACACGCGATGCTCATGTTCTAATTTTAGAATATTTAAACTCTTACTATTTCTTAAATATATTGTTAAACAGATCAAAATTCTATTTATAAATTTAATTAGGATATGTTTAAATCAGATTTTGACACATTAACTACTAGATTTAAAGTTTCCAAACTCTGCATGTGAGTGTCACATGGGAGATTTGTATTTTCATTTTTA